ACCCCTGATGTCATTTGGCCTACATTTAACTCAGATTTCATGTTCTTCAAGTTTGTTGGCACACAGAGCTTATCTTTAGATTTAGATTGACCTTGATGCTAAAACACATAATTGAATTAACACCTCCATGAATCCTGAAAAATATAGGTAACATGAAAGCAGAATTTATGGCTGAGCTGGTGATTTGAAGTGTTTCCCTCATAAATTAGTCACTAAGTGTACTACCGTGCAGATTGAAGTCGCAGTTTTACCTGCATGCTCTATTGGATGTGTGGTCACTCAAACCTCTTGGCTAACCTGCCACCTAACAACAGAAAATCTCAACAGTGGTTACCCACAAAATGCATAATGTATTGTTTCCGTGTTGTTACGTTAGGGAGTGGGGCCTAGTGGGGGTCACATGTAGAGTGAATTGCTGAAAATGTTGCCAGAGATGAACTCCTAAATCCTGATGGTGAGGAACCCATGTCCACAATGTGGGATTTATACAGACAGATATTTTACCTGATGTGTGAACACTACACCTCACTCTTCTGGTATTTATTATTTCATCATCAAATTCAAAGAATCTGCAAATAAGTAGTAAACTAAACATGACTATTTTATTTAGGTTCATAGCAACTTTTCCAATAATGTTTAAGCCTATTTTTGTTTGTCAAATATCTATAATTACTACATGGTTTACTTGATACATCTGAAAATAACCACACACTGAAGATGAGAGTTTCCTCTTGAAGTCCAGAGTCATCATTTAATTTCAAATTCTGTACTGCAGTACAGAGCCAAAATAACTGAATTCATGCCATTGTCCAAATGTGAGTGTACTCTCACTTCTGTAATTTTAACTTCTTGAAACTGTGAAACATTTTCTTTCGATGTGTCTCCTCTGGGGCTTGACATGCATTTCACTCACCAAAAAAGCTCAAGTAATTGTAGCAGGACTTATGGGGTAGAGCTAGAATGCTTTTGCTATCATTGTAAGCTTTTGACTCTGTGACTGGAGATGTTTTGAGCAGTGATCATCCAGTGATGTTTATTGAGCGCTCAGTGCCAAGTGTTCAGATATCCTTTTCTTCCTACTGTTGTGGAAAAATGCAATTACTATTTTGAACACTTGCTTTCTGCCATCTTTCTCTTCCTGTAAGAGGTCAAATACATTTCTTTTAAGACTGCCCATTGAAGGAAAACCTAGCTACCCTCTCCTTTGATGTAATATATAACAAAATATTTTGTATGCAGTTGGCTGCCTTGTATATTTTGCACAATTGACCAAACCTCTATCTTGGCTTAAGAAGCAACATTATATATTTAACACAGCCCTGTTCTTCCCCCATTTACATTGATCTGAACTGGCACTGTTGACAAAACCTGGACTCATCACATGGAAACAAAATTCAGGAACTTTATTCCATAGGGCTGGAAAGTTGGTAGTCTCCTTATGCTACACACAGAACACAACAGATAGTTAGATTTACATTTGAATATGGTAACATAAAAAATGGCCTATATAGTTATTTTACAAATATACATACACATAAATACCCAGGAAGTAATTGTCCAGTGCATTTTTTAAATTTGTGTCAGGGAGAATGTAAACAGCAGTAAGATCATAATGGTAATATGGTTTTCTCCAACTGGATCTCAGTCTTTTTTTTTTTTTTTACTGCAAAAAGTTTGATCATCCAGTACTTGATGTCACTGATACAGTTGTCAAGGTCATTAATAGGGCTGAGGATATCATGTGAAAGTGAAATACACAACTGAGCCTTGTGGGACCTCAAAGAAAATGTCATAATTGCCAGTTTAAAAGTTGTCAAGAGACACAGAATGTCCTGGCAGGTAGATAGGAAGAGAGCCACTTTAAGACACAGCCTCATTGCCCAAATTAATTTTCTATTTTCTAAATGCTGTGGTTGACAGTATCTAAGGCTGCAGTCAAGAAATACTAGGATAGAAGGTTTGTTTGCAGCATTGTTGATCTTTTGATCACCGACTACTTCAAAGCTGTTTCACTGCTGCGGTTGGTCCTGAAGCCAGATTCATCCACATCATATAGATTGTGGAGGGACAGGTAATTATGCAGTTGTTTGTAGAAATCCTTTTCAAATACTAGGAAAAAGGATATTGGAGATTGGTCTTTAGTTGCTTACCACAGATGGGTCTAAAGGGTTCTTTGAAAAAAAACTGTGGGTCAAAGAAGCAGGTGGAGGAGTTTAGCTGCTTTATCACTTCTTTTGGATCATAGAGGTAGTAGGTGAAAAATGATGCATTGTGCCCACAATGTTGTGATGGTGTAGAGGCATTAGATGAAAGATGACTAGGGTTGGAGATCTGAAGGCATCTGAAGGAAGTTTGAGAATAATGTCAGACGAGATGATGTGGGCAGTGGCAAATGGGGGCACATGGCTGGCTGTCCAGCAGAAGGCAAACGTGAGGCAGAGGAGCAGGCGGTGATCCTGAGGTGCAAGGAAAAAAAAGGTTAGTCACAAAGAAAACACTAGGAAGCAAAGAAGAGAGGCAGGAGCTCTGAGTTGATTGAGCCTGAGATGTTCAGTTCTTAAACAGCTGATCAAAACTAGTTCAATCAACCCTGTGTGTTCACAGAGTTAGTAAGTGGGGAATGAAAAGAAAACTACAATTCACCATGGCGATGAGTAAATAAAGAGCGAAGCCTCTGAAATCCTTCTGTATGTTGCATTGGATTTATTTAGCTGATGGGGAAAAAATGCAGTTGGCAATAACTGAAGATGAAATTATGAATCAGACAGATAAGACAGTTTACTCAAATACCGGTCACAGTCAATCCATTAATAAAGATTGTGGTGATTTGCAGTTGAAAATTAGTCTATTTTACATGCATCTTGAAGACTATCTGTAGATGTTCAAAGACTTTGGAACTCCATTTATTCCATAATAAAAATAATTAAAATCTAACTAGCCGTTACTGAGCCTCTAGTGTCGAGTATATGCCCTAACTTAGGAGAAAAGTAATTGTTGCACATCTTAATAAAAACTTTGAATATCTTTACTAAAATCTGCAACATAAATAAACAGATCAAAACATTGTTATCAGCATGGTCAGTTCAGACTTACGTTAAGTTACAGAAATGCACTCCTACATTATACAGGTTTGTATTGTAGCTCTAGTTTATTGCGCATGCGTTGGCGTCTGTAGCTACCTGTCGGAAGCTCCGTCTTAAACCTGACTCTTATCCAGTTTTAATCCACACTTTTTCGTTACATTTTTTATGTAACTTAAATTTTTTAACTTAAGTTTTACGTGGGGTAAAGGATTTTTGTCATCTGACATGGATTTTAAGCTAGATGACCATAAAAACGCAATCAACGCTACTCACCACAACAAAGCGACTAACGTTATGCTAGCCGAGATAACTCTGCCCCATGAGGACTGCACACTCCTTAAGAATGCGAACAAAAAGATTGCTGACCTTATGGAAGACATCCGACGACTTTCAGAGGAAGATTCCCTGCTGACTGGCTTTATGGATGTGGCTTCAGTACAAGCCAAACAGATTGTTTCTCTTAGCGCAACCGCTAACATCCAGGACACCGTGTTTTGGGACCCCTCTAGCCTTCCCAGGCTTTCATCCTGCTGGACTCCAAAGCATCAGTCAACCTGGGTTGAAGTGGTGGTCCGTGGCTGCAAGAGAGGCTCGGACGGGGCTGCCTCTCCTCCGCACATTGGCCTCTCCAACCGCTATGCAGCCCTGTCTGACGCGTCCCTGATACGGATCTCTTTTTCGTTAGATAGTGCCTGCCGACACTGTTGCATCTCCTCCACCGGCTACACCTCCTGCACTGCAGCCATCATCCCAGTCAAAAACCTCCGCTTCCCAGCGTAGGATCCTGAAGGAGGCTGTGCTCAGACACTCCGGAGGCCGTCTCTACCCTGTACCGTCGGGTAGCCCTTCTCTCAGGTCTGTTATTGCTACTCCAACACAACACTCGGCAGCTCACACACTCCATCCTCAGTCCGCACGCAGTGTTGAAGCAGATTCTGCTCAGTCCTGCTCTGGAATCCAACAACAGGCATCTCCTCGTCCTCTTTTCTCCCCAACCACACTAATAATTGGTGACTCCATAACCAGAAACATCTGTTTCTTTAACGCTACCACTCACTGCTTCCCCGGTGCCACCACGGCTGACATTTTAAAAAACCTCCAGGACCTAATGCCATCGCTCCCGTCCTCCATCACAAGAGTGATAGTCCATGTGGGAACAAATGACACAGTTCTTCAGCAGTCTGAGCTGACAAAATCAGATTTTAACCGTCTTTTTAACTTTTTAAAGCAGTGTGGAAAGTCCGTTTTTATCTCTGGTCCCATTCCCACAGTTGGTTGCGGTGCTGGCCGCTTCAGTAGACTCCTTGGCCTCCACGACTGGCTCCAGTAACACACGGTGTGTGTTATGTCGATAATTTTAATATTTTCTGGCAAAGAATGTCTCTTTTTAAGACAGACGGCCTTCACCCAAAGAAACGGGGCTCAGAAAATGTTAGCTGCGCACATACAGCATGTGGTGCGGTCCAGTCATGACATGACTAATCATTCATGCAGCACACCTGGACACACCACCGCTCACTGAACAGATCTCTGCCTCACTGCCACAAACAACTGTCTCCACCTGCTGGCATGTAAAGCCGTCTGCTCCCAGCGCTGTTCCACAGACTTCTATTCCTGTCATCATCACGCATAGACCAGTAAACCGAAATGTGCACATCCCACACAGAAATATTAGTACACTGTAAACCCAGATTTTGTTTCTAATTAAACTTACGAGTGATCATTACTTATTCTTTTATGTTTTGTCAAAACCTGCTATCATTACTAAACAACATTAGTTGTTTGTACTATTTAGCTGAAAGATTAATTGCACTAATCATGTTTAGTAGAGATAACTTGGTATGTTTAGTTTCATAAGGAAGGGGAGGGGCTAATTCAAAAACCTGCCTGGTCACGTGAAAAGACCTGCGTCTAACGTGCGTCCAAGAGGCTCTACACCTGGCGGGACGAGCACAGGCCTCGGCAGCAGACGGTACCCTGACTAGGAAGCAACATTACTTCAAGTGGAATGGTTAGTATTTAAAATAACTATTGTATCCTAGTTATCTTTGTGGGAATTTTTAATACCCAAAAGCTTGCAGATAATTTGTTGACGCAACTTTTTTTCCCGTCTAATGTTACTGTTTGAACCTGTGCATGGTGTTAATACATGCTTATTGCTAACACTAGCTAGCTAAGTTACTCAAAGTGTCATCTGAATGTTAAAGTTAGCTTAGTGTTAACAGTCTAAGGATTGCTCACATATCGGCGAGTTTGCTCGACTGTATCATTTATATAAATATAACTTTACGCAATAGAAAAGCGATTCAACCGCTGTTGGGGCAAAGGAGTGTAAATTAGCACTCGCTGTGATGGTGTAAATAGTAATGAATAATTATCGATTTTCAAATATTGCACCTGTGAATACAGAACGGAATATTTTGTAGCCTTTTTTGCCGTCAATACTGCCGACGTTGTCTTTGCTGTAATCAAATCAGTATATATTTATGTTTAACATGAAGTGTATTACTGCTTGAGTGCAGTAAATCTATGGGAAACATCCATATGTAAAGTTACAGACAAGGCTAGCAGCAGCAGCAGCGCCGCGTCAGACACGTTTCTGGTGTGCAAAGACAAAACACCACGAAGCTGACACATGCCGGTTTTCTCTGTAAAACAGGCGTCGTTTCGGTTCTATTACCTTATAGTATTTAACAGTGACATTGTTGAACTGAGTCGTTGAGCTAAACGTTTTTCCTGTTTTCTATTGTTACAGATCCTTGTGGTGTTAGGATGCTGTGGAAGTGTAAGTACTGTGAGTTTATGTGTGAGAAAAGGGGTTACCTTTTAAAACATTATCGTTTAAAACACGGAAACTTTGGTAGAACTGTCCCATTTCCCTGCTTACACCAACAATGTGTGTGCACATTCAACTCCATTAATGCACTTAAGGTCCACTTAGCAAAGATTCACCAGAAAACCCAGGGTGCACAACTGAGTGAAACTGCCCAAGTAACCTTTCACTGTCAGTCATGTGATTTTTCTTTCTCACTCGCCTGCGCAGTACACATTTAAAGGTAAATCACAGAGTCCAGTGCCCATATAATGGCTGTAACTTTCACACAAATGTGTATTCTACATTTAATGCACACAGAAGTAAGGAGCACAGAACACACAACTGGAGGATGTTTAGGCCAGAAATAGTCTCTAGTAGTGTAACTAATGAAATGGCCCAAGAAGAACATGAGCCTCCAAATGACACCCTTGAATCAGAAGACAGTGAGGATTCTACCAATGAAGATCTTAATGATCTAGAGAAACAGCTGGAGCACAACCTAGCAGCTCTTTTTTTAAAGATGCAAACAGTCCTACACATTCCAGAAAGTACGGTACAAGAAGTCATAGAACAGCTGTTACAGATGTGTGAACTATCCCAGCCACTGCTGCATAATGCACTCAAGGACATTCTGAAACAACAGACAGATGTAGATGATTCAGTTGTGGAAGAGTTAGTAAGGGCTGCCGCAAAGGGCAATGTGATCATGAAATTCTGTGGCAAGGATGGCCCCTTATCAACAACAAAAAGGAGAGCAGCATATGTGAATAAAAACTTCACAGAGGTTAAACCAGTGGAGTACATTATTGAAAGAGGAAAAAAATCTAGTACTGTATATGTTCCTTTGCATCCAATGCTACAGAAGATGTTGAATAGGGCAGATATTCTGGACAAAGCTCTTCCCGTCCAAAAGCATGTGCAACATGAGTACAGTTCATACAGAGATGGCTCGTACTGTAATGACAATGTCCTCCTTAAAGGGGAGGAATTCAAAATCGCTGTTGGACTTTATACAGATGATTTTGAAGTGTCCAATCCTTAGGAACATCGAGAAAGAAACACAAAATGAGTGCAGTTTATTGGGTGATAGCTAATGTGCCATCAAAATACAGATCCACACTCCACTCCATTCAGCTTGCTGTTTTGTGCAAATCCTCTCATGTAAAAGAATTTGGCTACGCTAAAATTCTCCGCCCTCTCATTCATGATCTGGCTTCTTTGGAGCAACATGGTGTATATGTTGAGAAGTTGGGAGAATCTGTCAAAGGTACAGTTTTATATGTGGCTGCTGATAACCTGGCTGCTCATTCTCTGACAGGATTCTTCGAAAGCTTTATGGTGGACAGATTCTGCAGGTTCTGTATGGCGACGAGAGGCGAGGTGCAAGGCAAGGAGGTAAATTCAGGTGCTTTTGAACACCGCACTATAGACACTCACAACCAGCAGGTGCAGGAGGTAAAGCATGATCCCACTGTGGCAAAACAGTATGGTGTGAAAGGAGGGTGTGTATTGAGTGACGGCCTGGAGCACGTGGGTACCCCCCTGACATCCTCCATGACCTTTTGGAAGGCGTTGTTCCTGTTGAGTTGTCCCTCTGCATTTCAGACATGATTTCTAAGAAATATTTCACCATAGAAACACTGAACCATGCCATGAAAACCTTTGAATATGCTTTTCATGACAAAACTGACCAGCCTCAGCCAATTGCCCATGGCTTCTCTACCAAAGGGACTATAGGTGGCAATGGCCATGAGAACTGGGCCCTAATCAGGCTGCTCCCACTTATCATTATCACTAATCAACAGAGGCGGATATAAGAAAAGTCATCCTAACCACAAGGCCCTCTACAGTCGAAGATTTGATAAGCAAGCTTAAAGAATCACTGGGACTTCATTATAACTTCAGTCTCCAATACCAAGACCCTGAATTCAATAATGAACTATGTAATCTGACAGCTACTGAAGAACTTCCAGAAAAACCAACAGTTAAAGTCATGCCTGTCCTTGAGCTGGTACCTGTCTCATCTGATGAAGTCTTCAGTGACACACCCAGTACAGCAGATACAGACATACTCTCACACTCATCTCAGGAGCGACAGAAACAGTGGCCAGAATTTTTTGATATCCCTACCCTGTCTGTGGATGTAGAGTATAGACTTAGGCAAGCAGATCTGCTGTTTGAGTGAGGGTACATACCTTAAAGTATCAAAAGAACTAAAACACGAGATACTTGAAAGATTGGCAGAGAGCATGTATAGCTACACAGCATACCCAACTGCTGCTCAGTTCGAAAGTGTTGCAGCAGCACTGATAAACAAGCACCCTTGTCTCCAGGAGCGAGGCTCAACCACTCGCTGTTGTGGTTGGAAAAATAGCCTTAAGCATAAAATGGGTAATTATCGAACAAAGCGTAGGCAATCAGGATGCCTTGATGTTTCAGTAAATGCAGGTAAGCGGGGAAGGCATTCAGCAGGACAACCAGCTAACAAGCGCATCAAGAAGGCAAACAAAGATGAAATCAACTACTTGCCCAACTTTCCGGATGGATTTGATCAGGCAGCACTGGAGGGGGCCTGTAAAGGTGGTTGATGAAATGCAGAAGAGAACACCAAATGAACCTCTTGTGAAATAGAAGATGGATCAGACCTTTTCTCTGAGAAGAAAAGAGGTAGTGGAGTCGGAACCCGCTATAAGCACAATGGTGAAACGCTGGCCTGCCCTTTTCACTGAAGATGAAGTATGTTTAAGAAAGAACATAACAAATAACTATCTTTCTATTATATATTGTGTCTAGATGTATATTTCTCTTGTCCTCTTTAAGGAAAACATTGGTATTTTTAATTTGGAGCAGGATGTTTTTCATCAACATTGCAAATCATATAAAAAGGACATTCATGATGTTTTTCAGCACTACTTTGCAGATGGTTCAGTTGATCTAAGTTCAGTTTTTTTGTTCTCTGTGTTTTTCAGGTGTTCATGGAGTTCAGCAGGATTGTGGGCAAGAACCTCAAACAGGAGTTCTATGAGAGCATCGACCGGCACAGTCCTCGTCTCCTCGAGTTATTTCAATCCAAGAGAGGGAATGTTGGACAGTTGTTGACACAGATTTCACAACAGACCAATGTAAGTCCATACACATTCTGTACTTGGCGTTGTTTATCTCAGGTTTTGTATAAACATCATATCACAATGCTACTCTATTAGTTGTATAATTCAATCAAAACATTGCTTGTTTTTTTTATGCTTTCTTATAGATCATTATTTGTTTTTTATTTTAGCTAGCTAACTTGTTGTACTGTGTTTAATTCTCAAAAGACTACAGAGCCAACTACGATCCGGACACAAGTGCTCAGAGGGCTTCCTATCATCCTTGGGGACAACCCTACAAACTTCTTCAAAGCAAGCTTTGTAAGTAAGCTCTTGCTTTCTTATAATTTTTACCATTATTTATTTTTCACCATGACACTCTTATATTGATTAAAGTTGTTTTTCAAATGAGAAATATAATGTAATGATTGTGCTCTTCTGTTATTCTTTATTTAGGAATCTGATGATGATGATTATTTTCGTGACCTTGACGTTGGGAAGCTTCTTATTGAGCGTGAAGGTGCTGTGCTCACGTCTTCCCAGCATCTCAGTCCAGCTTCGTTGAAAATCGTCATTGAGGGAGAAGTTGTAATGGAGAACATTCAAGATCTGCCAAAAGCAATGTGCATTCTGTTTGGACTCATGTATGCACTCCATCTTAACTACCCCAAGACCATGAAGCTCACATTTCAGTTCATCCAACAGGTATTGCTATTGTTAGGCCAGACTGACCTAAAGCCAAAGCTACAGAGTTTGAAAAATCAGCTCGCAATGTAAAAAGAGAGGTCAAGTCTACTGTAAGAGGCGGTTGACTACATTTTTCTTTTTGCCACACTAGTAAAATACTTTCTTACCTGTGGGGTAAACCTTTTATTTTCTGTAAAACAAGCGGACGAACAGACACACGTAAAACGCAGACACACACGTACAACACCCACACACAACACACACAAACAACACTGACACACACTTAAATGCTGAAGGATGTGACTTGTGTGAAAATTAAAACTGAGAGGAGTTGTAGCAGAAAGACATAGGCCTAAGACATTATTGTTCTAGTTCTTCAACCGGCTTGGTAGATTGTTCTGATATGATAGTCTGTTGGTTCATGCTCTGTCCTCCCTTCATTTAGGCAGATGATCAGAACAGATCCTGTTTGTTTGCGTTTTCTTGTACATTTGAGTGGGTGTTTCTGGTAAATTTTATTTTGTTTATGGATTTACCACTCAGGGGACATCTATGGTTTTATCTTGTAAATTTGTGACACCCACACACGGCAACATACACACGGGCAACACACACGGCAACACACACACAGGCAACACCCACACACACGGCAAAACACACATACAACACCCACAGACACGGCAACACACACACGGGCAACACACACGGCAACACAGACACAGGCAACAGACACGGATAACACCCACACACAAACAACACACACGGACAACACACACACACAATTGTTTCAATGATTTGAAATGACCTTTTTAAGATTAATCATTTTAGATTGGATAATTGATGTTTTGATTGTTGATGTTTACCTGATGTTTGGCTGTGTTTTGCCATTTAAAAATAAAATAAAATGCATGGAAGCATTAAGAGGTGTTTCTTTTTTTCCATCCATCCAATTTAATTGAAAATTTTTTATAACATATTTGTGTTTTAAAAATCAAAAGCTAATTAATTTAGAAGAAAATACAGTAATTGTGTTAAATGATGAGTAGCAATAACAAGTCATAATAGCTAGTTTTATCTAATGATTTTGAGAACACACTACTAATAAATATAAATACTAAACTTAAGGTTCCATGTTAATACAACTCAACATGTTTAGTTTCATCCTGTGTAAAAACTAAAGTGGTTTAAGGCAACGGGTTTCCACGCGATTTGCGAGTAAAGTCAACTAATTCGGGTTAAGAGTGTAATCTCTTAAGGATTAGGACAACTGCACCAACTCCAGCACCCAGAACAAACTCATTTAAAATGGCTCTCTTCAATGTGAGATCACTTTCAAGTAAGACTTTTATCTTAAATGATTTTATCTTGTCTGCAAATCTAGATTTCATGTTTTTAACTGAATCCTGGTTGCAGATGAATGACTATAGCCAGCTATCTGAACTGTGTCCGCCTCAATATGATTGTTTTAGTCAACCGAGGGTCAGTGGTCGTGGTGGTGGGCTAGTGAGCGTGTATAGGAAAAATTTTAAATGTCATCAAGTACGCTGTGATGAATTTAACTCCTTTGAAGTTCTCACTCTTAAACTTGGAGGGTTGCAACCTATCATATATGTGTTCTCGCATCTTTATTGAACAAAGTGTTTCAAAGTTTTGCACATTCTTTCAGAGCCAAAGCCAACACCTGTCTGACTCCAACACCAACAATCTGGTCGATCACTTCAATCATATCTGCTTGTCGTCACTAAATATTACTGCTCCTCTAAAGGTTAGGCCTACGTCTAAAGCTAGTAAGCAACCCTGATAAATGACAGCATTCGCAGCCTAAAAAGGGAATGCAGGAAAGCAGAGCGCAGATGGGAAAAATCCAGTCTCCATTACCTCAGTCTGAAGGATTTATTAATTAACTACAATAACATGGTTAAGGATGCGAGAACACACTATTTTTCTGAACTCATTACTACACATAAACACAATCCCAGGTTTCTGTTTATCATTTATTCTGTGGATCAGCTGGTAAACCCAACCCCTCCTTGTGCCTCAGCTGAAAGTAATGATGACTGTGAATTGTTTTTATCTTATTTTACCAATTAGGTGGTGTCAATCAGAGCCTCTATTACCCCCGCGGCCTCTTACTCAGAGGTTCCTCACCAGCAACAAGAGAGTTTTAACCAGTTTTATCCCATCGACTTGTCTGAGCTTTTAAAAACAGTATCACAAATGAGAGTGTCCTCCAGCCCACTTGATGTAATACCTACAAAGTTTCTACTGAAAGTAATAGATTCTGTTGGGCCCCATTTGATCTGTTTTCAACAGCTCCCTATCTACTGGTTGTGTCCCTGATTATTTTAAAACGGCTTGTGTGAACCCACTTTTAAAGAAACCTGGTTTAGATCCCTCCCTCCATCAAAAGTCTGCTTAAAGTCACCAATGACCTTTTAATGTCTGCTGATGAAGGCATGTGCTCAGTCCTTGTACTCCTGGACCTTAGCGCTGCTTTTGACACCATTGATCACAACATCATGTTAGACAGACTGAGGCACTGGGTGGGGATCTCTGGTACTGCCCTAGAATGGTTTTCATCCTACCTGTCAAATAGGAAGTTTTGCCTGTCTGTAAACAACTATGTCTCTTCGTTCTGTCCAGTTAAATATGGTGTGCCCCATTTTGTTTTCCTTATATCTACTTACATCTTTTCCATAAACATGGTATTTCTTTTCATATTTATGCTGATGACACACAAATGTACTTGCCCGTCAGATCCACAGACCCTGGAATGCTGAGTTCACTTAACAACTGCCTTTGTGAAGTTAAAAAATGGATGTCAAATAATTTCCTCCAGCTGAACTCAGACAAAACAGAAATCCTGGTCATCGGGTCCCAGCAGATGGCAAAACAAATACTGCCATCTGCTGGTTCCCTAGTAAATCACATTAAGCCTGTTGCAAAGAACCTTGGTGTTTGGTTTAATAGTAATTTAAATTTCGAGCAGCACACCACAAAGCTTGTTCAATCATGTTTTTATCAACTTAGAAATATAGCAAAAATTTGATCTATTTTAAGGACACCGAGACCATTTTACACGCCTTCATCTCATCACGCCTGGATTATTGCAACAGCCTTTTCACCTGTTTGTTACGGTGGTGTGGTGTGGTGTGGGGACAGAGAGGACCCAAACGCAACGCTCAAAGGGAAGGAGGTTTATTGAAGGAAAAAGGGGGTGAAGGACTGGAGTGGAGGGAGAGGTGGATGCCGGGGAGACACGGGCATGGGGAACCGAGGAGACTGGGATCAGAGAGCCAGGGAACACTGGGGCTGAGGAAGAGAGGAGGCAAGGGAGAACAGGGAGGACAAGCTTGAGAGGTCGAGTGGCACCAGGTTTGGAGAAACGACGATCAAGCAGGGGTTGAATGCAGAACCAGGGTAGAAGAACTGTTGGAGATGAGGCTGATTGCTGGCAGGTGTGGCAGGCAGAGGAGGTGGCTGACGAGGTGCAGGTGCGGGTCATTGGCTGGGCTCAGGAGCAGAGGGAGAGAGAAAGCACACACAGGGGAGGAGACACAGGGAGGCAGGCAAAACAGAGAAAACCAGGGAAAAAACTGAATCACAAAAAAAAAAGAGAAAAGGCCAGGACACTCACCGTCAGCCGGGCTGCCACCACAACAACCGTTTAACCCAAAAATCTACTGATCGACTCCAGACTGTCCAGAACTCAGCTGCCAGGCTTTTAACCAGAACAAAGAAATATGACCACATTACTCCTATTTTAGCTTCATTACACTGGCTCCCAGTATGTTTTAGAATTGACTTTTAAATTCTATTGATCACTTTTAAAGCTCTTCATGGCCTCTCGCCTTGTTATATTTCTGACCTTTTAGTCCCATACGCACCAGCACGTACCTTGAGATCCTCGGGCAGAGGTCTGCTGTCTGTTCCAGAGTCTCGACTGAAAACTAAAGGGGACAGAGCGTTTGCTGTCAGGGCCCCGAGGCTCTGGAACAGCCTGCCCGAGGAAATCAGGTCGGCTGAGTCAGTGAACTCTTTTAAGTCCCTTCTTAAAACATACTTTTATAGGAGAGTCTTTCCCGATCTTATTTGACTTTATTTTATCCCTTTTATTTTATTCTATATTCCTTATTTTATATTTATCTTAAACGTGTATTTTAGTCTTTTCAATGTCTTCTTGCTTTTATCTTGTATTGTTTTTGTATTATTGTCTTTTGGGTATTATTGTCTTTACACTTGTTAAAGCACTTTGTAACTTGTTTTTGAAAAGTGCTCTACAAATAAAGATTATTATTATTATATTATTATATGTTGTGCATCCAGGAAAAACAGTGAGTGGGGTTTATCCAGTATATGACTGTGGGGATGATTGTAGCTGGGTAGATGCTTTTTGTGCTGTCTGGCTGGAGCATTTTTTGTGTCCCCCAGATAGGCTGCAGCAGCAGGCATCTCACAAGGAGAGTTTTGCTGGTTTGTTGTTTTGAAAGCCTTTTGTTATTTTTGTGTGTTGTCCGTGCAGTTTTTTAAATACCCACCACCAGTGCACACATGAAGACTAGGGTGCAGTTAGTTAGTTTGGGTTAGGCAGTTAGGAGGGGGTGCTCCATAATAATTCATTTTCCTTGTGGTTGTATATTGTTTGACCCACACTGTCTTATTTTCTTCCATGGGATATGTTAAAATTGCTTTCACTCTGTATAGCTAATGTCTGCGATAAAAATGGATACTGAGCATAGTAATACGCTGGTCTCAGAGTTTCTTAAAAGGCCATCTTGTTGTACGTTAACTCAGTTTGCCAAAGCAGATTTAGTAGATTTGGCAACAAATTTGGGCAGGTCAAAAACTGAAAGGGTGCCAAAAAAGGCTGAACTTAGGGGCATTGTAGAAAGACTAGCTGTGTCAGCCAGGCTGCTGGAGTTTGTTGAGGCTTCAGAAGCTCGAGCAGTTTCTGACCTTGGAGATTTAACTTTGTCCTTTGAACAGTATTTAGAGCTTGAAAGGTAAAAGGCAAAGATAGAGAAGGAGAGATTGTATTTTGAGTTAAGAGAATAAGTTATGAGAAGTTAAAAGTTGAGGTAGCATTGGAAAAGGAGTCAATTTATACAGATATTAACCCACTGACGTTTCTGACTAATGCAGTGGGTAGTGTTTCTTCAACCTTACACCCTTAATGTCCAACATATTAAAGGTCGGGAAAACGTGATGGCAGATGTTAATGTCGTGTAAAAATTCAAGACTTGGGCCAGATAAGAAAGCTTGAACCTTTACCAACATTTTTATTATCAACAAAAACAGACACCAATTAGAATACAAAAGTTCCACCGGAGTGAGTCAGAGATCGGTGCAAAATAGAGTCCCATTCTGTTACCAGAACAGAGACCCGAGTCGACATGAAAACCATGTAACGACTGACTTTCACCTCCTTTTGGACCTCCTTTTATAGCTCTGTTTCTTGGCTTCACATCATCTCTTGGCTCTCTTTCCTACTGCACCTGAATCTGGGAAAGTCCAAGATTTTCATGTGCCCAAGTATTTGGTGGGAAAGTCCCTGACTGCCTGCTCCTCCTCTCTGTGTCCTCTGCATGAACTCTGCTTGATCATGCCATTTCTTCCA